TAAAAGTAATAATAAAAAGTAATAATAATAGCAATAGTAGTAGTAGTACTAGTGGTAGTACTAGTAGTAGTAGTAGTAGTAGTAATAATAATAGTAGTAGTAGTAGTAGTAGTAATAGCAGTAGTAGTAGTAATAGTAGTAGTAGTAGCAGTAGTAGTAGTAGTAATAGTATTATAAAAAATGGTAGAAGCAGTAGTAGTAATAGTAGTAGTAGTAGTAGTAGTAGTTGTAGTAGTAGTAGTAGTGGTAGTCGTAGTAATAGCAATAGTAGTAGTTGTAGTAGTGGTGGTGGTGGTAGTAGTAGTGGTAGTAGTGGGGTAGTGGTAGTCGTAGTCATGGTCGTAGTGTAGTAGTCGTCGTCGTAGTGGTAGTGATAGTGATAATAGTAGTAGTAGTAGTAGCAGCAGCAGTAGTAGTAGCCGTAGAAATAATAGCAATTTTGTCACCCACCTGGCACGCCTCTAGTAGTAGTAGTAGTAGTAGTAGTAGTAGTAGTAGTAATAGCAGTAGTAGTAGTAATAGTAGTAGTAGTAGTAGTAGTAATAGTATTATAAAAGATGGTAGAAGCAGTAGTAGTAATAGTAGTAGTAGTAGTAGCAGCAGCAGCAGCAGTAGTAGTAGAGGTAGTGGAGCGGTAATAATTGTGGTAGTTGTAGTTAGCGGAAATCGTAGCGGTCGTGGTCGCGGTAGTCGTAGTAGTCGTAGTAGTCGTAGTAGTCGTAATCGTAGTCGTCGTCGTGGTGAAGCAGCCACAACAGGGTAGGTCGGAGTAGCGGTAGTGGCAGGGGTAGTGGCAGTGGTAGTGATTGCGATCGGTGCTTGCTTTTGTTGTTCTTCTTGTGCTAGCTGGTAGAAGTTGCTGTGGCTGTAGGCGCTGTAGCAGTAGTTGTCCATGCAGGTCGCTGCTGTGCTCGCATTGCTAGTGCTGCTAGCGCTTCCGAATGTTACTGTAGTAGACTAGAGTGACGGGGTAGCAAGTAGTGAATTGTGGTCGTAGTGCCAGTGGCGCAAGCTACCGAGCTGTTCTTACCGTTGTCTCCATTACTGTCATCCACGTCATAATGTTGAAATCAAACTCGCCAGTAACGCAGCTGCTGCTCTAGTCTGCAAATTTGACATCGTGGCTGCCTCTGTCCGTGTAGGTAGGCACACAGCAAACACAGCACGGGTGTCCATCGTCAAATGCTCTTGCTGCATGCGGTCGATAAGGGACAAACGCCTCTCCAAAGCCGGCAACATAGCAGCGCGCTACTCTCTGGCGAAACACAAGACGGGCAGCACTTCAAGAAAGGCGTAATCATGGCGCTGTCTCCTTCTTTGGAGTTTATCTTTGCATGCACCAACGTCTGCACAGGATTTCAACACAATGACTTAAGTCTTGCCGGGACGGTATCGAGACTCGCTACAGCCAGCATGCTTTCTTGCATGCTTTCCTGCATGCGGACACCAAATCCATGCAACCGAGCCTGCGCGTCACCTCGTGGTCCACCTCGGCTTCCTGACATCTTCAGAAGAGTCCATGAGAACTCCATGAGATGCACGTAGGTTCTCTGGCCGTGGGCTGAGTGTTCTTTAGCCGGAGCCCTTCAATCTGCAGATATCTGCAGATGGACGCTCGACCGACGAGGAAACAGGAGTCAACATGTCCTGAAAGCTTTCGCCATCGAGCCCGCTGTTCTCGCTGAGGAAGGATGTCCTCGGCCCATTCTTTGCCAAGCTAAGTAGTCTGTTTGGCCTCGCGGCCTCGGAACATCATCGAGTCCCGCCTGCTGCGACTCCAACAAAGTCAGCAGCAAACGGCCCCAAAGAACTTGCGCACAAACCACAGAAGCCGTCGTGAGGCAGCGGTGAGACGACCAACCCAAGCTGCGGACACAAATAATGCTCTGTTGAAACCACGGTGCTGCAGCAGCATGGTTGTCGTTTTCCGCGTGCCTCAGCCGGTCAGGCATCCCGCTCAGCTAATCCATTTCGGGGACTCGGATTTAGAGCACCAGCCCCGATATATTCTTGCTAAAAAATTGTCACCCAACTTCCAAGACACGCAGGTCTTCTGGAAAGAAGAGGGCCACTGCAGCATCCAGGGCTCGCTCATAGCTTCAGTAGCTTTGCATCGCATCCACAAGGAAGGATCCGACCCGAGGCGATGACCATCCAGCCATGGGTGTCTGAGGATGTCCGCGGCTGAAGCCCGCTGGCCCTCCTCTTTCTTCAACCTGGGCAGTTGCCCGGCAATGAAACCCAAAACAGGTGCATGAATGCCCTTCATGACGGAGCACGTTGGCCTAGAGAAGCTGGACTGCAGGCCGGAGCACATCATCGAAATCATCTCCGCACATTCGTCATGGACGTAGGGTGGGAAAAGAATCTTCGCAAAAGCAGGGTGATGATCAAAACTGCTTGCACGAAAATCTCCGCCCTCGCAGCTTGACTTGTGCATGGCCATCACCGGCCTGCTTGTTCCTCACCTCTCCTTCGCCCTGACACCGGAAAGGTACAAAAGAACACAAAGTATGGCAATTGAAAGTCTCGGGATGGAGCGCTACAGCTTTCACATCGCGGCCTTGAATGGAAACTTCGTGGTGACAAGGCCGAACGTCAATACGCCAAGTGCCCAAACATCCACCTGCCAGTGAAAACGAACTCGACACAAGCATGGTTCCCGTGTCAAGTGATGACTGGCCTTCTCGACATAAGACAAATCATAAAACCTCGGATGCTCGTGGCAAGGGCTGCTTCCTGCCTCATCGTTACAGGTTTTCAGGTTGACCGGATACCGACTGAGTCGATCCTTCGCATGGCTGGGCTCCGGACGCTTGCCTACCTGACTACCAAAGGGAGCGGAAACCGCTGTCACCGCAGCTCTGACATGTCACATTCAAGCACATCTTCATCATGCAACGCTGCAGCAACGGAATGGATCCAAAATCGTCTAGTTTGCAACACCCAGAAACTCTGGTGACCAGAACGGTTGGGTGCCGCATTCTGCGTGCAGCCGTCTACCTGCGCAGGTCTGATGGTCACTACTTTCCTCAGATAGGAACTCGGGGCACATTCTTCCTTACTCCGTTTCTTTCAGAAAGCGCGTCGCCCCGTGCAATAGTTGAACCGCATGGCGGGTTCCTTGATAAAATGAACTGACCAAGCACTGGATACTCGTATGTAGTGATTATTTAGACACATCATTGCACAGTCCCAGTCTCACTATGTTTCACTATCTTCAAGACCACAAATCATATACCAGAGCCGGTGCCCTGTCCCACCTGGCTCCAAACGACACGCTGTCCCGAAGTCCGTGAGGGCAAGTTTGCCTTACTGCTCGAAAGGCTGGCATCCGATGCGTTTTGCTGCTACAGCGCAAATGCCATGCGAGTGCAAGAGAGTAAGGAAATTGACATCCCAGATGCATTGGGAAGAAGTCAAATCCGTGCGATCCATCAGGAAGTTGTCTCCCTTGATATCCTTGGAATTCTGCCCCGACACCCAGAGGCTCTGTCACAAGTCCAGAAGGACGGTGAGAGAAAGAAATGTACCGATGGCTTCCGACTGGCTGCTTGTTGAATTCAGGGTTTCATATGGGTAAGATTGGATGAGCATGTGCCACCGCGTGAGGCGATGTGATAGGCCAAGGCTGGAAGCCGCAAGTGCATGGAGAGCAGCTGCCCTAAAGTGCCCTCGGTCTTTGATGACAGGACGGGTGTCTCGATGAACGACGTTCCGGCTGTGCACGTATTCGATAGCTGCCGCCATCTGTCCTGATGAGATGCGCATTCAACCTCTCGCTCTGACGACACGTGCTTCTGTGGCTAATCGTTGCAGACAAAGCAGCGAGTCACATGCACCTCAGCTATGCGATCACTCTGAGCAGGCATCTAATGTCATCTAATCAAGCTGCAGTCGCCAATGACTGCTCTGTGATAGGACTTCAGTCCATGTGGGCTTTCTGAGTTAGCCCAATCCAAATTGTAACACGAAGTCATGGATGAAGTAAACCATCTAAGAATCTAACCGGCGATCGAGGACATTGTGCAATCAAGCCGCCATGGTGTGATCTGGGAAAATGCGCTGCGCCCGCGTTCTCTCCTCAATAGTACATCCGATGTAGCCCTCACAACGACGAGCACAGAAATCCTGAGTGTCATCCGGCCATCAACATGCGAAGTGCCTCAGCGTAGGTACTTTCTTCGCGGCCACAGGAACCCTTGCTCAACGACGACATTTGGTCACAGATGAACTCGAAGCTTTATATCGGTTAGCAAGCGAAGTGGAGGGATCGGAACTGCATGGAACTGCACAGCCACCCTTTTTCGAAGGGACTATCGAGCATGAGGTGCCAGTGATGGATCCCCCCAGGGCTTGGGCTGGGAGGGAGAATTTGCAAAGCTTTGGCCTGAACGGCTATGGAACTCGGCCTAACTTGCGTATGCACTTCTGCAACGCTGCATTCCAACGGGCTCGCGACAATGAGCGAGGCTGCAGGCGAAGCGCCAGAGAGACGTAGAGAGACCAGGACAGCCAGGACACTGAAAACAGGGCCACGGACCTGGTGTGTTCTTGCTTGCCTCCCGTCTGCGGGTGACACACCCGCGAATGAAGTGGAAACCCGTCCAAAAATTTTCCCCACCACCAATCGCAGCAGCGGAATTGCATGGAATTGCCATAGGTCAGTCCTGAGAGTCAGATTTTCTGAACCTCCGCGTGACGGCAGTCTTCGCCGAGTGGTCATAAATGATCTTCAACTTCCGCAGCACTGCGGGCATTGCCCTGAGCATAATTAAGAGGTAAAGCAGCCTTGTTATCTCACTACAAAAAACACATCTCCTTCGGCCGGTGAAGGAGTTGGGCCGTGGATAAGGCGTGGATCTTTCAATCGCGGGCGCCGAAACCCGGTACAGGGCGACATCTGTTGGGTGGAGAGCACAAAATGCCTTCGACTTCGTGCGGCAACGGAACTTGGGACTTGGCATTGCTTGACACAACAGTAGCCCGGCATTCCCTGTCGCGCTCTCACGCTCTTGGCTCGCATAAGCTGACCCTCCTGCAAAGCTTGAACCACATCTCCGCCGACAAACTTGTCCATGACGATACACCTAGGATCGGGACATTGCAACTTCGGTAAATTCTTGTCACGGAAAGCATTCTCGAGCCACGCCTCGTACTACCCGGATTTCGGATCAAGCCAAGGCTTAGCTACTTGTTCATACCAATGAGTCAAGCCGCACGAAACAGTTGTCAAAGAAAATGCCGAAGCATTTCACCTCAACTGAAAACAGAGCCGACACCTCGAGATACTCCGAGTCATATGCTGTCTTGCTGCGCAGCTTGCACACGTAAGCTGATGCTTCCCTCCTTCCGGACAGAGTCACAATGTTCGGATGATCCAGCGTCCGGATCAGTTCAGCTTCGCGCATGATGTCTGTGAACCTCATCTTATTTGCGGCTCATGGCAGAGATTATACAACAGCGCGGGGAAAGGGGAGGCAGGCCAGCTGTGCAGAATGAGTCCGAAAAGCCGATTGCGGGAGATGCACCTGCAAGCCTGATTCGATATGGGAACCCTCACGTCCAGGTATCAATGTGCGTTGGGCAAGGCACGGTGTTTCCACCTTGTCCACCATCTTGACAGCCTCATGACAACTGGGAATAAGCTCCAAACTCGGCATGCAAAATTACTAGAAACTGCTGCAGCCAGAGAAAAGTCAAACAAGCGAAGTGCCAGCCGGTGTACACGATTTGAAAACACATCCGTTCGGGGATTGTTGCTGTGGGGCTGGAAAGTAACATGTCATACGTGCCGGTCCGCTGCATTCTGCTCGAGCTTTCTGGAGCTGACTGGGCGGGATCATTGGTTGATTTAATCTGATGTATGTATCCGAAGCTCTCTTACTGATCGGAAATCCGACAAGCCCGTCTCGAAGGGATGTGAAGCTCAGAGCCCCAGCCATAACAAAAACAAGCCGAGTGTACCAGCTGCAGACGCCGAGGCATTTGAAGCACGAAACAAACCGAAGATGGCCGAAGGCACTTGTTCAACGAAGTCAATACGAAAGGCTTCGCAAGGAGCTTCTGAAAGTTCACTGAAGAACGCCTGAGAACAGCTGGTGAAATCCGGGCACATGCTCCTCGCCGGTGATGATGTGATCGCCTTGGCACTGCTAGTTTCAATGGCATTGGAGGGCGACATCGTTGGATCGTTGGAACATCTTGACATGGGCCGCTTGTATTTGCTCCCATCGTTAATAGTGTTTGAGCAAAAAATCCGCTGGGGCTTGAGTTGCAGGGTTCCTCCAAGTTAGACCGCATAAGGCAATGCCGTCCATGTGGCAGCTCCAGACCACGCCAAACGAACCTGGCAGGCCGTCAAGTCTACACAAATGAGCAACAATCATTCAGAATGTGGTTTCGCTGCAGAATGAACGACAACGAGGAAAATTGACGTCGTCCCCACCCACATATACAGACGCACACACAGACAGAGGCAGGGTCGGAGGCAGAGGCACGGACAAACACACACACTCACACACACACACACATGCACACTCTCGCACACAATCGCGTGCACACCCACACACACACTCACATGGTTGACACCAAATGCGGTATGTATGTTACAGTAGGTTTCAAACGGACGGCTCCTTCCTCAACAAGATAACTGGCCTGAACAATAGCAAGCACACCTTGCAACGGACATCCGCACCTTCGCCCAAAACGCCACCAAGCTTGTAATGGTCAAGCAGTCGAGACTGCAAGGCCGTCACCTGGGGCTCGTTGAAGCAACTGTGCACAAACTAACCCGGAGACCCAAACTAAGCTGCGGGCATCTTGTGGCTCAGGCCCGGTTTGGCTTCGCAGTTCCTGGATCACCTGCTCCTGACCTGAACAAAGATCTCCATTTCCGCTTAGGATCTGCAACACAACACGCAACTTTGCAACCTGCACAAATGGCCCACAAACACACCAACGAATGTACACTAAATGCGCATCGGGCAGCCGCCCGAACTTCTGCACGGACAAGATTCCGTGGATCCCATGGACCCAACGTGCGCCTGGAGTTGGTCTGCTGGCATCCAATCATCTACTATTCCTATAAAACGATGAAGCCAACCCTTGCAAGAAGCATCCTTTTTGAATTGAATCTGTCCATAGTGCATGGGCTTGTCATGCGCATGAATACGAATTGGAGAAAGCCTGCGGTTCGCAGTGGGCACTGGGACCCTGACATTTCCTTCGCGCCATCATGAAAAGTGCACACGAAAAGAAAAACAGAATGCCAGACATTCCGAGCCTGTTACATCCCAACGGAATCGATCGCAGTGACAGCAGCAAAGGCAGCTGCAGCGCCCGCTACAGGTTCTCCAACATGACGCATCACAACCCCAAGGATGGCAGATGAACTTGTGGACGAAAGCTCTGTCATCAGTTGATTGTCTGAATGTTGGACAGCTGTTTGCTTGATAGGCATCCGCCTTCTAATCGTCTGCTAGAGCAGCTGCTGAGCCACATTCCACCCGGATGCATGAATGTCAATGTCAAGCGGAAGAACGTATGATGCGCTCAAACGTTTGCAGCACACAGCTGGCCTACGACGACGACTGCGACTACCAAGTACGCTCCGGCTACGCCATCTTATGCACCGTGCTCTGCCGGCGTCGTGGGAGTGCAGCGCAGACTTCCTGGAAGTAGCAGTGGTCGTGCCAGCTGGCAGTGGCGGTACGATACTAAGCCGTGGCCAAAAATGCATTCGGACAACAGACCGCACACACTTCATACGACCAGTACTTGTACAAGCGCGGTCCCACGCGGACCCCTGTGCATCTGCAAGATACATCGCGTGTGTGACCTACGAGTATAACCTGTACTGTATATAGGTGCTGGGGGGTTCGAGCACGAGGACGAAAAGACTCATGTCTGCAAGGCGCGCATTGCGGGCGACCCAAGCGGAAGCCTTTTGGCGGCAGGGACTTGCAGCAGCAAGGCTATGCCAGCGTGGACTTGCAGCAGCAGGGCTGGGCCATGCAGCACACTGCGGTCGTACTCGGCACCGAACACCGCAAATCACAGCAGTGAGGGCTGGTGGGACGGTGTATGAACTGTGCACGCGGGCTTGCGCAGTACAAGAGCAACAACCAGGCGACCTGGAGGGTGTGAAGGTGCGCGGCAACGAAGTCATCCGTACCGAGCGGAGTCCCCAGGACCTTGGGGCCGTGGTGGCCCAGCGCGGCGTTGAATCCCTGCCCCGAGGCTTGTTCAAGGCAACGATGCGGCCAGGCCGAATGCTGAGGCTGCCGAGGATGGCAGCTCGATACGAGCAAAAAGCGTTGCGACACGCAAGTCGGAGACGCGCATACGGTGGTGGCAGTGGTCAGATCAACGCCTCATGTCTTGCGTGGGCATGCGTGGGCTATCGTTGGGTATCTTGGCCGATTGGTGTACGTCATTGGTGTAGCATCGGCGGGCGCTTCGATCGGCAAGCGGGTTGCGCGGCTCCGCCGGTTTGCTCGCGCTCGCGCAAGGGATCGGGACCCGTGTCCGTGTACGTCTGCCGGCTGGATGGCAGGAAAACCACATCACCCAGGCAAAGGGCGATGAGGAAAGAGAGCAAGGTGACCCGTTCATGCCGGCCCTCCGCCTTAACGTTTGCACCTGCCCTCCGTGATCTGCATGCAGGCCTCCACCCTGATGAGCAGGCCTTGGTTTTTTTTTGTTGTTCGTCTGGTCCGCCTGCGAGCTACCTGACTGCAGTATCTAACCAGCTACAGTACGCGTACGGCGGCTCCGCTAGGAGTAACATGGCCTCCCGGCGAAATGTCAACGGACAAAGACGTGAGGCGAGTGTCGGCTTGAGTCTTGGCGTGCATGGTGTGCCGCCTGTCCGCGTGGAGAGTGTGTACTCGTGCGGGTACAGGCATTGGGTGCCCCTCGCCAGAACTGTTTCAAGACGTGCAGGGCGTGAATGAGCGAGTGTGGTGGCACGGGGCCGGCCAAGCGGAGGGCTTGAAGGAATGTTCCCCAAACTCGCATGACTCGCCCATTGTTGTTCGCATTGTGGGTGTAGTCTGCCGACAATGCCGAAAGCAGCATGCAACAGTGGAACAAAGATGCAGTCACGACGGAGCCCTGCCTTCCTCGGCCGCGGCAACCCAAGCCCAAGCACACTGGTACGAGGCACCTGACTGGGCAGTCATACGTTTTTTTTTTGTTCCGGTGCCGCTGCACCCCCTGCACCAGACCAAGCTTCCGTAGCCATTTTGGCTCAAGCTTTTGGGCTCAAGGGCTGAAAACTGCTTCGCGGCTTGCGTAGTTTTGGGGGGGGGGTAGGCCTGCTCATGGAAGCCGTGCATCTCGTCCTAGGTGGTGTTGACTTGGAGGCAGCCCACGACCCTCACCGAGGCTTGCTGGTCCTTCGTGTAGCAGACGTCGAAGCAGCTGGCGGGGCCCTTGACCCGCCGCGCTCGCCCTCTGCCTCCCAGTGCGCTCCCACTGCAGCACCTCCCGCAGCCGCTCCCCCGCCTGGCGCCCTCGCCCAGCCGGCCCCCAGCCCGGACCCTGGCCCCGCTGCACCTGCTCGCCGCAGACGTCGACGGGGAAACCAGGGCAGCGCGAACGTGAGCGTCGAGTGGCCCGTGCCTGCCAGCCTACACCTGCCGGCATCTGCCGGCGCCGCTCCCGCCCCTATAGCCCGTTTGCGCGCGAGGCCACCCCGCCGCACAGGGCCTTTGCGGCCCCTCCCGACCGGCCCAGCCCCTTTCGTGTTTCGGTGTCTTCTTCAGCCACCAACACTGCGCCCGTCTCCGCCTCGCCTTTCTTTTTGCAGCCAGTCCCCCAGTGCCTGCCCCCGTGGCTACGCGCACCACCCCGCCTGCTCAGGAGTGCGCGGCCGTGAGCGCAGACCGCCCAATCGCCCGTCCCTGCCGCGGCGCCTTTTTGGCCAGGCCGCGGGCACCAGCGGGGGTTTTTGTTTGCACTTTCCCTACACTTGGAGCGCCGCCAGCCGGCCTGCCCCAGGTGCCTACTGCAGCAGCTTGTCGGAGCCTTAGTGCTGAACTGGAGTTTTCTTTGCCTGTGCCACAAGCTTAGCAGGCCTCAACCCTCGTGGCGCCGGCCAGGAGGCCGCCACGGGCTTACCGCTACCGGGCTCTGTGCAGAATTTGTTTTCATTTGCTAGGGTTCTGCTGCCAATAACCACCCCACAAGCCTCGGGCGCCGTCCTTCAGGCCGCCTGGGCCGCTGAGAGTGACGCACCTTTTTCTCCACCTGAGCGCACCGCCCGCTTGAGCGCTGACACAGTTGCGCAGCGGCTTTTGCCAGGTGCGCCTAACAGCCTCTCCCGTGCCTTTTTTAATCCCGACTCTTTTCCGAACGTTTGTGCCATTTTTCACTCCTGTACGCAGTTTGCACCGCGCACCAGCTTTTCCAGAAAACGGTCTTCTGCCGAGTGGTTCTTGGGCATTCGGTGTGGAGTTCTCAGGTTGCCACAGCGCCGGCGTGTCCTGCGCGGCTCGCCCCGCTTGCAGACATGTCACGCCGCACATCGCGCTCGGACACGCCTGACCGCGGCCACAGCTGCTCAAGAAGCTGCGCCACAACTGAGGCTGCTTGTGCAGGAGAGGATGAGGACGACCTCATCGCCACAGCCGCGCGCCGTGCTCGCGCAGCTTCTACGTCCCGTGGCGCCGGAAGAGGACGCCGGGGTCGGGGACGCAGGCGCGGAGCCGCAGCAGCCGCTCCCACTGCCGAAGACCCACCTCCGACCGCTCCTGCAGGACCGACCGCCGCAGGGGTCCCCGAGCAGCCCCGAAACCACGCGCATCCGAACACCCGTCGGGAGCGTGCCTGTACCGCCTCTGAGGCGGGCATGCGCATCGGTTTAGCATCACTTGATGCCGTCTGCCTGCAGCCGGCAACGCGCCCTCACGCTGCAGTCCGCCCCTGCGCGTGTCCGGGGAGCCTTGCGCTCTGTCCTGCGCGCGGGCCTCCAACTCGTAGTGCACCCCAGCGGGCCCGACGACGAGGTGCGCGGC